TTACATTAAAAAAAATTCACTTTTTTTCTTCTTTTCTTTTTTCTTCTTTTCTTTTTTCTTCTTTTCTTTTTCTTTGTTCTTTTCTTTCTTTCTTTTTTTCTTTTTCTTTATTTAATTATCGCTTTTACTTTCTTCTTTCTTTCGTTTTTTTTATTCTTTCTTATGTGAGCAAAGAACAAGAAACAAGGACACACACACACACACACACACACACACACACACACACACACACACACAGAGAGAGAGAGAGAGAGAGAGAGACAGACAGACAGACAGACAGACAGACACACACATACAAAGAACAATTACCAAATAAGACGAGATTCGCTTTTTATTGATTGATTCTTTTTTACAGTTTATCGACACTTTGCAGCATATTTAAAGCTGGAAAATATTTTTTTTTAGGCTATAAAGATTTTTTTCTGGAGATGATAAAGATTTAGTGATATAGATTTAGTGATATAGATTTAGTGGTATAGATAAGTCTTACTAAATAACTAGTTGGGAGGAGAAGAGACGGATTCATAATACTTAGTTTTGTTCCTTACGCGAAAATACCCTTGGGAAACCAAAATACCCTTGGAAAACTTACGCGAAAATACCCTTGGGAAACAAAAATACCCTTGGAAAACTTACGCGAAAATACCCTTGGGAAACCAAGAGTATTTCGCGTAAGAAACAAAACTTCAACGGCTCTCCGATTAACAATTTCGAGCCATTATCCATTACATCATACGCATATCCAAACTTACAGCACCTGGTATTCTCAAGCTGTCACCCATCTTCGTACTGATCAGGTTCGGCGTTACTTTTCGCTGGTCCTGCAGGAACCGGTGTTTCAATTTGTTTGTTTGGGTTTTATGGCATATCAACCACTGTGGGTTATTTAATGCCAAATCCAGTTTATATGAATTTTAAATGCCTATTTTGTATGTAATAAAAAACGTATAGCTTGCAACATTATTGTTTCAAAAACGTATAGCTGGCAACATTATTTTTCCGAAAACATTATCTGAGGCCTTGCTGTTGGATGTAGTTTATCGCCGTACCCAGGACGCGGATGTAATTTATCGTCATACCCAGGACGGCCCTCCGGTGTTTCAAGATGATATGGTCGTAAGTCACGAAATTCACCCAATGACAGAAAGAGAAGGAAGCTTTCTTCGTTCAAGGCGGTTTCTTCTTTTATGTGCTAGGTCTTTCCAAGGTGTGGGTGATCATGTCTCTCCACGTCTTCCTTTTTTGTTCCCCTAAATAACATTTGACTTGTTTTCATCCCTTTTTGTTAATGTTCTGCCATCCATACAACCAAACTCATTGACAATTAAGTTACCCTCTCCCTCTCGTTCGCTATTGGGTGTGTCAAATTCTCCAGATCCCCCTTCCTTTGTTGTGTGCCCCAGAAAGTTCAGCTATGTCTTTCTGATTTCAGTCGCTGCTTTGTTGAACCGACTCTAAAGAGAATGCTTCCTCCTCTATCCCTACAATCTTAACCGATTCAAGTTTAGGTTTAAGCGTTATTATCCCATAAACTCTGCCCCTGTGACCCTCTAACTCTTATAGCTCTTGAGCCTTGTACAGAGTAGGGGACGTCGTTGTATACATTTGCTCATACTTAGGAACATTTGCCCAGGTTAAGACTTGTATACCTAAGAAGCGAAATAAATTCTACTGAAACGGATGCGAAAATTCGCGTAGGTAAAGCCTGGACCGCTTTTAATTACATCTAAAATATATTGTTGGTAATTTTACTATAAATAGTGTTGCAGCATACCTACGGACGATAATGGGCATGACCCCATTCAGATAAATACAGTAGTAAATACTGTATGTTGGTCTGCAATCGGAGATTCGTCTCCAGCTGTGCTGATCAAACTCTCTGTCTCCGGACACAGAGGATCCCCAGACGAGGCTATATCGAAAGGCAGAGTCTCCTCTCAGGAAACAGCTACCCGACCCCGTTTTATACGGGGTCTACGGGGAATTTTTGGCCTAGCCTACAGGTTCGGATACCCCACATTAAATTCGGCCTTGTGCCACATCTGACCGCGTTGGGCGGTTAGTAAATATCCTGCAGCTGAAGATTCGTTTCCAGTTGTGCTGGTCAAACCCTCTGCCTCCGGGCTGAGAGGATCCCCAGACGAGGCTATGTCGAAGGGCAGAGTTTCGTCCCGGGAAACAGCTGCCCGGCTCCTTTTTACACGGGGTCTACGGGGAATTTTTGGCCGAGCCTGAAAGTGTAAAAATAGATTTTTATAGTAAAAGTGCCAAAAAAAAAAAAAAATAAATAAATAAAAAAAAAAATAAAAAAATAAAATAAAAATATTACCAGCAATACGTTTTTGAAAAAATAAAAATATTACAAGTAATACATATTTGGAAAAAAATTACCAGTTTTACATCTGATTCACGACAAAAAAAAAACAAAACAAAAAAAAAAAACCTCTTTAGAAAAATACGTCAATGAATCCTGCTCTACAAACTGATTTGTTACAAAGAATACATATTCTTTTCATACTAACCTAAAAAAACTTGTTGGCATTAAATAATCCATTGAGGTTGATATACCGTAAAACAAAATAAACCAAACTACATTTTGCTTTTGTAAATAAAATGTATTTCCTGTTACATGGAATTTCTGTTTGTGCTGCTGTGAGTGTGAATATTTTGGGGCACCAAAGAAGAAAAGGTTGAGAAACACTGATTTAGAGTATAGTTTATTTTTACAACTACATAATACAATGATTTTTTTTAAATAATTCATCTGTTTTGTAAAGTTTCTCGAATTTTTACATCGTTTTAGGCAACAAATATAGCGCCATCTTGCAAATGTAAGAATATTTTATTTACCATACAAATCAACTGAAATGTGTGCCTTAACAACAACAACAGCAAAAACTTTCCGAATAAATAGCAACGGAATATTTCAGTCCAGTTATCATCAACGGGGTGCACAGTGGAGTAATGGATTGCGGCTCGGATTGAGGAATCGGAGAGCCGAGTTCGAATTCCAGTCGAATCCATTACGTGTTTTAAGTGGGAAAGGTATCCCCTGGCGATGGATGGCAGGATAACTGGTCTACAGTAGAAAAAAAGATCTGCCTCGTCATTCATGTATCGAAATATACATGATTGTCTAAGAGTGTGTATGACGCATGGTACATAACTGATTATCAACCTCGGGCTTAGGCCCAGAAGTCGCCCTGAGAAATATTTTAAATGGGCCTGGAGGTGCAGATTAAAAAGAGATGAGACTTTACGTCTGAAATTGAAACAAGGCTTGGAAATTCAATCTGACAAAGCTGATAGATAGACACCAGGAGCATGTGTAGTTATTAATCAAAATTTGTATTTTTTACTACATTTTACTTTTGTAAGTAAAATGTATTTCATGTTACTTAACATTTCTATTTTATACTTATGTAGCCTTGAAAATTTTTTGGACACCAAAATTGAGACACAAGGAATAAAATTTGAGAAACAATTGTCTAGCGCGCATTAAAACCTTTCAATTTCTTCTTCCGTACATTGTGCTGTCGGTGCATATACAACTGTAATGGATATATTGAAATGATCCCTTTTCATTTTAACTACAAGATTTCTTTCAGTTAATTGATAGTATCCCTATTCTTCATATCTTGGTATAATATCAGTCCTACTCCACTGTCATTTTTCTGTTCACCTGCATATATGACCCTGCATTAGTCAATGACGAAATCTCCATTCTTTTTCCACCTTATTTCGTATGCACCTTAAATATTAACATTTAACTTATTTCCTGATTTATATTTTCCAACTAGCCATATTGATTTCGTCTTCTCACGTAAAAGAACCTGTGACTTGAACCGAACTGATTTTTTAAAATTTTATTTGTTTTAACTTACTTTTAATTATTATTGTCAATAAGATACCATTTACACACACACACACACACACACACATATATATATATATATTATACCATTTATATATATTATAATATATTTTTACTTATCTTTTTCTTTTTTTATTTTTAAGTTTGATTTTAATTTGGTTGGTTCTGATGGCAAGTTTAGTTTTAATTTTAATTTTTAATCTTAATTTTAAATTTTCAGATTTTAATCTATTTGTATTTATCTTTTGTTTATTAACTTAGTTTTTATTTTTGTTTATTTTTGTTGGCTCTGGTGAGAAGTATAATTTGCTTGGTTTTAACGGGAAATTTAAATATAATTGTTAATTTGTTTTCAATTTAAATTTTGTGTTTTTAATTTTAATTACAATATTAATTCATTTTTTATTTTCTTAATTTTCATTATTTTATTTTTAAATTTAATTATATTTCTGATTGAACAGAATTTTTGTGGGGTAGGTATTGCAAGAGGAGAGGGAGGAGGAGGGGGAGAAAGGCTCCCTAAGTAGGTTAACTAACGACAAAGCCCCAGTTTTGAATTCAGAGGTTTTCCTTCTCCTATATCGGTTGCCGTCCAAGGCTAAAGAACCCAGTCTGTTCAAGAAGAGGATTCATACCCCTCCCAAGGTTATTAATAATTCCGACTGGAGTTCGAACTTGGCTCTCTGATTCCTCAATCCGAGCCGTTATCCATTACTCCGCCTTTGTAGGTAAGATTAATTTTAATTTATTTTTTATAAATTAAAATTTTTAATTTTAATTTATTTCATGCATTATCTTAATTTTTCGTTTTTAATTTTAATTTTGTTTCCTTTGATGGTAAAATTTAATTTGGTAGACTGTGACTCGAAGTTGAATTTTAACGTTTTTAATTTAAAAAATATTTTTTATTTATTATTATAACTTTAAATTTAAATTCTAAATTTTAGTTTTAACCTGTTTGACTCCGACAATATGTCAGATTGCATTCAGGTGAAACCCTGTTCCCAAAATAAAAAAATATTATCAGTTGGTGGAGAGAGATGAACTTTGGCGATGTTGATGGTCCACTTATTCTATTTCATGGCGAAATAAATGTAGTATATAACCGAAAATCGTATTGCCTCTACCCTGAGAGACTCTCATGACACTGATACTTATACAAGATAATAGCCCGTTCTCATTCTGCATAATCGAGAAGACAATACTTCGAAGCTGAAAAGGTCGCGACTTTAACAATGGCGAGTTCAAAGTTCAGATCTAATTCCAGCTGAGAAACTTTGGATGATGATTGACGATAATGTTCGAGGCAATGGAAACCACGGATTGAATGACCTCCGGTAGAAACTCTAGAAATAAAAGGACACAATCACACTTAAATAATGTAACAAATTAGCAAAGTCCACTTGTAAATATTCTTCTTCTCTTGTTCTTGTTCTTGTAACGGCATTCACCCAAGGTGGGTTGAGCCGGCTCCAATAAATATTGTAAATATTCAGATGTAATTAAAAGCCATAGCGTGTTCACAGCTTTTTACATTATTCGGACTGTTGTCTTCATCTTTGTTGTCATATTTATCACAACGTTATACCGTAAAACAAAATAAACCAAACTACATTTTGCTTTTGTAAATAAAATGTATTTGCTGTTACATGGAATTTCTATTTGTGCTTCTGGGAATCTGAAAAATTTTGGACACCAAGGTTGAGAAACACTGATTTAGAGTATAGTTTTTGTTTACAAGACTATTGTCCTCATCTTTGTCTCCATATTTATTACAACGTTTCGGCCGATGTACGCTCCGGCCTTCTTCAGGTGGTTGGAATATCGAACTGAACCCTTTATTTCGCTCGCTGGGGGTAGACTGTTCTAGTTCCAGGTGCCATATCTAATGGATGTCAGTTATCAGTTTTCTCCTGTTAATTCACCTCTTCAAGTTCTCGACTGCATTAAGCAGGTATTGAATTCACACTGTCACTGGATCTAACTAACACCATTAAGGACACATGGCACAGTGGATAAATATGGCAACAAAGATAAGGGGAATAGTCTGAATAATGTAAATAGTGTACATAATACCTAATCTCAGAAATATAGACAGATACTGAGTGTGCACAGCTTATTAATATTTTGTATAAATATGACCCCAAGCTATGGGTACAATAGCAGAGCAAACTTAGTTCTATAGACTTGGGTGGCAGCCGGTCTAGGAGACAGAACACTCTGAATTCGAAGCAGCTTAGAGAGAGATGGCTCGGTCAGGCTATCTTGTCCAGGTCACACCATTTCTTCTGAGGCTGCAGTACTTGTGGTTCCCTTACGACCCTAATGAGTTCCTCATGATCACTTTTGATGGGCTTTCTTCCCTCCAAGCTCTTGGCACACAGCTGAAGACCATGTAATATGGTGTGTAGTGCCCTTTGTCCGTACGCTAGACCTTCAGGTTTTGAATTCAGAGTTGTCTTGGCCCTCTTAAATGTTTCTTAGTCTGGTGCTCCTGCTCTATCTAGAGATTCTTGATAAATTCCAAAGAAGGATCTGTAATGTAATCGATCCTGATTTTGCATCTCGACTTCAGTCACTTTCACACCGACGTGACGTGGCTTCCTTCTGTCTTTTCTACGAATATTTTCATGGCAATTGCTATGACGAGCCTTTTCTCCCTGGTGTCCCGACTATATAAATTTAACCGTGCTACTAGATTGGCATCTAGGCCCCATCCGTTTATTGTTGAAATAGCTAAATGTTTCTTTTCTCGCACTTCCCACCTGTGGCACTCCCTTCTGTTTACCTGCTTCCCTGATAATGGCAATCTCCAAAAATTTAAATGCAACGTCAATCGCCATCTTCCGTCTTCTTGAAAACCGTTCATCTTTTGTCTTTTCCTCAATCCTCTATATTCTCAGTGTTCTCTCACACTTCCACCTCCGGTAACTTCCTGCGGCATTTCCGCCTTGCTTGGGGTGAAATGATTAAAAAAAAAATGTAAAAGACGTTTTAAAATTACTATATAAGAATAAAGTGTCACTGCCGACACTTGAGTTTGAACATAGATCATCAGTGAGCAAACACAGGCGATCCCATAATTGAATTAAGTAGATCACGTGGCCATAGAGGAAACGCATATATAGGAAGTTGCGTTACGTCTAGATTGATCTGTATTTCTATTCTATCCTCTATTACTATACGGATTGCTATATTCTATTCTATCTTTATTACTATTCGGATCGTTATTTCTACTCTATCCTCTATTGCTATTACCTTCTGACTGTCTGATGCGGCATTCACCCTGGGTGGATTGAGCCGGCTTCTTCCTGTTGTGAGAAGAAGATTCTTGGGATAAATTACAGAAGTAGGGTACCCAGGCCTACTCGGATAACGTTCTTGCTTGCCGTGGGGTTCCCACAGACGCAGAGACAGGAACGACCAGAAGCCGCCGGTTGCCGATGCAGACGCTCCTTGGATTTTCACCAGAGCCCTTGTTAGCCGGCGTGTGTGTCAGACCTGTCCGCCTTGGGTGGTCCTACCAGGAACGAAGTTCCGGACGGCATAGCTCTGACACTACCGTTTACACCCCCCACCGACTGTGAGGTAAGGGTTGGACTTTGGGGGCTTACAGTACCAGGTGTTCCCAAGCGGTCCCCCATCTAAGTACTGACCTGGCTCTACGATGCTTAACTTCGGTGATCGAACGAGAACCGGTGTTTTCAGCGTGCTTACGGTCAAATCACGCTGAAAACACCGGTTCTCGTTCGATCACCGAAGTTAAGCATCGTAGAGCCAGGTCAGTATTGCTATTACTCTATACTGATCACTATACAGATTATTATACGGATCGCTATTTGGTGGTTAGTTTTCGAGCGAGTATTATCTCGCAAGTAAGAGATTATTCGAAGGCGTCTGACACCAGTATTGTTCAACGGCGTTACTATAGTTGTATCTGCGATTACAAAGTCTCTCCTACGTTGGCCTGATTAAAGTGACAACGAGTATTCGTTGACATCACAGAAGTGTCAACGAGTGTTCGTTTGAGTCACAAACAAATAATGGAAGTAGTTTTTTCATAGAACATTACAGAATTATACTCAACTTACCTCTCTTTGAAAATAGTCGGAACGTATTGGTATTGTTGAAAAATCTGGACATATTTATGTCTGTATATTTTTTTTTATTTTAGAATAAAAATATAAATAGATATATGTCCAGATTGTTCAAGCAAACATGGCGGAATGAAAATATGTTGCATACATATACATATTTTAAACTACATGATCCAGCAGTTCATCTTAATATCAACACTTGGTCCTTTAAACGTGACCTTGAGGCAGATTGAAATCGCAAAAGACATCGGTGAATTTGAGAGGATGGATCAAAATAAAAATAAATGGACATAATATGCCCAGATTATTCAACCAAATATGTTTGAATAAAGATCTTCTTTCTTCTTTTATGAGCCGTGTCCCTTCAGGGCGTAGGCGATCATGGCTCTCCACTTCTCCCTATGCATTGTAATTCTCAATATGTTTTGTCCTTTAGCTACTTCTCCGAAACCCTGTTCTGTCATCCACTCGCTTAAGCATGCTAGGTATGTCACGCATTGCTTTCTCTTGTCTCTCCATCCATCCGCCTTATGAGTATCAGATTCTCCAAGCCCTCATTTCTCATTATACGTGTCTCAGAGATTTCAGCTACCTCTTCCTGACGTTAAGTATGAGCTTCCCCCTTGTTTGCATCCTCTCCAAAATCTCATCGTTGCTCACATGTTCGGTCAATGTTATCCTTAGCATACTTCTGTAGATTCATACCTCCGTTGCCTCGAGTCTCTTCTTCATCTTTGAGGAGACCTTTCAACATTTGCTGTCGCAAAAGACGACAGATATCAAGTAGCAGTTCAGTGTTCTTTTCTTTGTTACCAACAAAACCTGTCTCGTAATATTCTGCCTAGCTTTTGGAATGCGTCTTTGGCCATACAAATACGTCTTCGGATCTCAGCATCGCACTTACCGTCCTCTGTCAGAACACTTCTTAGATATTTGCTTTTAGTGTCCCCAAACTGTAAATAGCATTTCTGGTTCATCCTTTTGGTGTTGACCATGCATTCTGTCTTCTTGTAGTTTATGCTTCGTCCTTTCTTTCCGATCTCCTTCGCTGCCTTGTGTAGGAGATTTTGTAATTTCCTTTCCGTGTCTGCTATCAGCACTGTGTCATCTGCGTATCTTATGCTGATGAAACCTGGTGGGATTTCCAGTTCTCTCAGAATTGCTTTGCTGCGTAGGTTGAATAAATTCGGTGAGAAGACACATCTTTGCCTTATGCTCCTTTCTATTTTTGTATATCTGCTGAACTCATTTTCTATCCGTATGCAGGCTGTTTGCTGCCGGTACATGTTCGAGATTATTCTAATTTCTTTCCCCGAAGGTTGCTGAGCAATTCCAACAGATGATTGTGGTGTACTTTGTCGAACGCCTTTGCGTATTCTATAAAACATAGGCACACGTCCTTCTGCATTTGTATTGCTCTTTCTGATAACATTCTGAGCATAAATATTGCGCTCCTTCCGGTGTCTGATGAACCCGCACTTTTCTTGTCCTATCTCTGGCCTGATTCTGCCTCGCGCTCTATTCATCACAATACGGATGATTAGTTTTGTTATGTGGCTCATTAGGTTGATTTTTCAGTGGAGTTCACATTCGTTTGCGACTGGTTTCTTAGGCAGTGCTATGAAAATAGATCTGCTGAGATCTTCCGGTATATCACCACTGTTGTAGATTTCATTTATTATTTCTGTAATCTTGTCTATATCAAACTCATCTAAGGCTGTCAGCATTTCTGTTACAATTCCGTCTGGCCCTGTCGCCTTATTCCTGGTCAATTTGCCCAGTGCAGCTTCTACTTCGGTTTTAAGAATTTCAGGCCCGTCAGATGTTCTGTGTATTTCCGGTTGTTCTCTTTGTTTCTCCAAAATTACATAAAAATATCTTGAAATACTTAATAGTATATTTATTCAATAAAATCACAAGACGACAAACCTCCTGCAACTCTTCTGGACGGTCTCTTTTGTTTAAATTGGTGAATGCTGACATAATCCTTGCCTTCAGTTCATCTTTGGTTTTACAAGGAGATTTGTGGGTCTCTTCCTCAACTAAGCCCTACACTAATCAAGGGGGTTGTAGTCTGGGGAGTTAGGTGACTAGATATAAGGGGTAAATTTCTCGTAGAAATTGTCTGACAGCCATGAATATATATATATATATATATATATATATATATATATATATATATATATATATATATATAAGGTAGTAAAGCCACAAAGACACAAGGGGCTTGAAAGAATTAGTAAGCGGAAACTTTATTATGGACCGAAAAATAGAAAAGAATAATATGGCTATGTGTTCAGTCGCGTGTGTCGCAATCAGCGCACGAGTCTTCAATTGGACAACACCTATTAGATAATGAGTCATGGTCGTCTTTTTTTTCGACTGACTCGTTTTCCATTTTGCATACACGTAGATCAAAACATCATTTATTAATTTTGGAAGCTTTATGCTTAAAATTATTCCAGTTTGTACTATGCAAGCGGAAGGAGAATTTTTTAAGATCCTTGAATTTATTCGGAAATATGTGAGCTTTATTTTTTCCTTTTTATGCTCCACTGGATCAAAAAAAATTCTTTATTTACGTATTTTAATCGTAAATTTATTTGTTTTTTTTTCTTAATTTTATATCTAAGAATAGCAGTTCGTTAAAATTTAGTTCTTAGATATACTCATCAGAAATAGAAATAACCATATTATCACAAATATCTACCCTAAACATACAGACACCCGACAATACCTTCATTTCAATAGCCATCGCCCAAAAAGCTGTCTAAAACCTATCCCCTATTCCCTAGCACGTAGGATATGCACTATAGTGGCCGACAAGCATCTCCGAAAAACACGCCTAGAAGAAGTACATAAAACTCTAAAAAAAACGAGGCTACTCCACAGCAGTAATAAACAAAGGTTTTGAACTAGCAGAAAACATACCTTTTTAGACCTACTACGAAATCCAAAGAAACGGAACGTCGAACAAATTCTAGCATATGTCTTAACATACAAGAACCATCCAAAACTTTTGAGAGAAATTACAAGAAATCTAAACTTACTTAACAAGAATGATAAAACGAAAGATATACTAAAAGCAACCAAAATAATTAAAAGCAAAGGTCAATCAAAAAACCTAAAAACAAATAATAACCTCATCCAAATTTAGCCAACACACAATACAAGGCGCCACAAAATGCAACAAGAAAAGATGTGGGGTTTGTGATATCATTAGAGAATGAAACTCTGGTACTTTTGAAAAGCCCACAGCAACATTCACAATAAAGAAAACTTAAACTTCAACTCCAACAATGTGATTTATGCACTCAAGATGGAAATCGGTTTGAAAAGATACAGAAGTCATAAAAAGATAAGAAGCGAAGATCTCCCTTCTCCTTTTCTCGGGCCAATCCTAATTGTTTTATTACTCCTTAAGCAGGCGAACATTTTCTCCACAAGTCGAAGAAAATTTGAATTACTACTACACACAAAAGACAATGGTTAAACACGAGAAAACATAACGAAAAAATGAATTCCTTTAAATAATATGTGGAAATAATCAGTCTTTGTAGAATGAAGGTCACAAGACTCTAAAAACGTGTAGCAAAGTATATGGAAATTTTTGCCTCACATGTTTCCGGTCTCATGACCTTCTTCAGTAAAATTAAAGGAATCAGTTTTTGAAGGAATAAATTTCCTTATGCTATGTTTAATTTTTGATTGTTCATTTTTATATATGTGTGTATGTGTGTGTGTGTGTGTGTTTGTGTGTATGTGAGCGCGTGTGCGCGTGCGCATGTGTGTGCAAATATATGTTTCCGTGTCGGTGAATGCGTGTGTGTGCAGTTTAGTTTGGCGAAAAACTAAAAGGCGATAGGCAAAGTCAATCAAAGTCGAAAAGTTGTTGAATGGATTGCAAACTAAATCAAATCGTATTTACTTTTTAAATTGGGACGATAATATAACGTGTGTGTCGCAGTAACATCGACGTAATACGGAAATATATTTGCATGCGCGCACGTGTTAGCGTGAGAACTTGCGGCCTCCAGAGGCGGATGGATATACTAGACTTCCCTGCACAGACGTACGCGTGCGCTTTTATGTCATCCCCTCCCGCTAAAAAAAAAAAAAAAAAAAATGCAGACAGAAAGCAATAATAATTATAAAAAATAATAATAATAAAAAAAAAAAGGATTTTGGAATTGAAACCGTCATCAAGACGCATGAAACGAGTGCTGCTTTTTAGCATCCAGCCCTTCCGTTGGATGAGAAATAGTCCCTCTGCTTCGGTGATCAAGCGAATGGCACACGTGAATCCTTTTTACTATATCTGCAAACCGCCTTTTAATTAATGCACTCCACGAGACCTTCACCGCAAACAACGAGAAACAAGTTTTTCTTTCTTTCTTTCTTTCTTTCTTTCTTTCTTTCTTTACTAGTTCATTTACTTTCTTCTTTTCTACTGTTTTTTCATTCTTTTCCTAATATTCTTTTGTGTATTCTTTCTTTCTTTCTTTTTTCTTTCTTTCTTTTTTGTCCATTGTCCTTTTCCTTTCTTACTTTTTTCCTTTTCTTATTTATTTTTTTCTTCCTTTCCGCTGTTCTTTCTTTTTATTCTTTCTCTCTATTCTTTCTTTCTTTTGTTCTTTGTTTTTTTCTTTCTTTAGTTTCTGACGTTTTTCACTCTTTTCTTCGTTCTTTTCCCATGAACATAAAAGATAATCTTTCTTACTTGATTTTCTTATGCTCTTTCATTTTTTTTATTTTCATATTTTGTTTGTTTGCTTGTTTCTTTTTCTTTCCTTTCTTCCTTCCTTCTTTCTTTCTTTCTTTCTTTCTTTCTTTCCCAATGTTCATTCATTTCTATGTTCTTTCTTTTTTTCTTAGGTTCTTCCAATATTTCTTTTTCTTTTCCCATTTTCTTTCTTTCTTTCTTTTTCGATGTTCATTCTTTTTCTATATTCTTTCTTTCCTTTCCTATGTTCTTCCAAAATGTTTTTCCTTTTTTATTTTCTTTCTTTTTTTCTCCGATGTTCTTTCATTCTTAGTTTTTATTTCTTTATCTTTTTTCCTATATTCTTCTTTCTTTCTTTCTTTCTTTCTTTCTTTCTTTCTTTTTCTATATTCATTCTTTTTCTATATTCTTTCTTTCCTTTCCTATGTTCTTCCAAAATGTTTTTCCTTTCTTATTTCCTTTCTTTTTTTTCTCCGGTGTTCTTTCATTCTTAGTTTTTATTTCATTTTCTCTCTTTTTTTCCTATATTATTTTCCCTATATTCTTTCTTTCTTTCTTTCTTTCTTTCTTTCTTTCTTTCTTTCTTTCTTTCTTTTCAAATGACTTTATTTTCCAACTCGTGGCTTATGTTCAAATCCATTTTCAAATCCTTCTTTTTATCTCTACATTTTAATCCATTTTTTTTAATTCTCATTTGTTCCTATAATTGCTATTCTAACAATTACACAATCAATATTAGGAATGTTTCGATTATGTTTTCCTTTCACTTCTCACCAAATGGCAACCGCAAATGTCGTCTGCATTTTTATTTTTTCCCGCCTTCACGTCCGAACAGAGAGAAAGCAACATAACCAGTCTTGATAGAGTTCAAAAGCGGAGAAGAATTATTTTCACAATCCAAAATCTCTCACACAGACTATCCAGTCTGTGTGAGAGATTTTGGATTGTGAAAATAATAAGTAGAAAAGGGCAGTGAGAGACTCGCCATATCCATGGCGAGTCTCTCACTGCTCTTTCTGCTATTACCATGGAAAGTGCGCGGACGAACTACATTCCTTGGTTACGTCAGGACTAATCTTTAATGCTAGGACCCGCCATGCCACTTACATAGTAGCAAAACACCCACATTCTATCCGTATCCCATCGGCAAGAAGTAAATTCTACTCGAACGGCTTCTTTCAGTAAACTCCTGCCCTGTGGAAAAAAAAATCCGAACATGTTTCCTCGATCACTACAATCTTAAACTGTTCAAGTCTAGAGTCAACCGTTATCTATCTATCTGTCATGGGTCCTTACCTATAACTACAGAATGAACGCTTACTAACACTATGTATACTACGCCTCTCAAGAGAGAGGGTCGAATCGAGTCGAGCCGATAGTAGTTCACTCCAAACCAGACTGACAGTCATACTAACACCTTCCACATCTTGTATTATTATTTCGTGTAATATACCTTCGTTATTTCTACTCTTGTGTTCGTGTTGTTCTTCCTTGGTCCTAACCTGGACCATAACACTATCCATATAAACTATTCCTAAACGTAACCTGCTAGCTTCAGTAGCCCCAGGGCTTTATACAGGGTGAAGCTTACTGTAAAAAAATAAAATAAAAAACGCTTTCTTTATCGACGCAATCTACATCCATTGGTAGATAGGGAAAGTTTAGGTCAGTGTAAGTAAATGGATTTCTAGCTTTTCTAACTTTTTTCTTAAATAAACAATTTTGTTTTTCTTCTTTTATGGACCGTGTCCCTTCATAGCATTTGCGATTATTACTCTGTACAGCTTCCTATCCTTTGTAGTTCTAGCAGTATTTGTCTTGTTACTAACCCCCCCCCCCTTTTCTGTCATACTGTCTATTTAAACAAGCTCATTAAGTAGGGGACGTGCTGCTATCGTCTGGCTCTCCCACCTTCAATATCTCCTTGGAGTATCAAATTCTCGAAGCCGTTTTTCCTCATTATGTGTCCTCAAAATGCCATCTGTCTCTTTCTGTCCTATTTGTTTCAATTATCCTTAAATCTTCCTAATTGCTAATAGATTCCGTCTATGGTATTTTCAACATCCTTCTGTAGAACCCCATCTCTTTTGTCTCAGTTACCCTCCTAATCTGTGAGAAATTGTCCATTATTCACTGCCATACAGAAGGACTGATATTACATAAGAGCTCAGCACTTTTTTTTTTTTGTTTCTAATGAAATTTTACTGTTTCTTAATACTTTGCTGAGCTTTTCGAAGGTGCCTTTCGTAATTCCAATGCAGCTTCAGGTTCGGTGTCATATTTAAGAAAATAAAAAAAAAGAAGAAAGAACATAAACCCAGGAAGTAAAGCTAAAGACGTAACATATAAATATCAGAAAACAAAAGTTGACGGATATCAAATTTTACAAATTTAACAAACCGTGCCCTACCTGGAAAGAATACCAGGGTTGATCGTTAAGTTCTGCAGTTATTAGCAGAATTTTGATCTGAATTTTTTATTGTACAGGGTGTCCTTAAAGTCTGGACACAGACAAAAATGCATATTTTCAAGAAATTAAATTTTCAATATTGGAATTATTCAATATCATTCCTATCTTTTCAAGATTCATGTAAACTCAATGCAATAACTCCACATTGCCGCCTATTTTAGCACATCCACTTTATATGCATTTAATCAAGGGTATTGCATCTGTGATATACATTGAGTACGACTTCTTCTTTAACATATCCCAGAAAAAGAAGTCAATTCTTTTATCTTTCGATAAAACCATTTTTGATCTGTAAATGTAAAAAAATATACTTAATGAGATTTCCGATGTGTCGAGAATTTAGGGACACTCTGTATTGTAGCTATGTTTAACCCTTCGATATTCCTCGTATTCCTATTGAAAATAATTCAACTTGTTATCAGAAGCAATAATAAAATAAAGTCGTACCTGGAAAGAATACCAGGGTTGATCGATTAGTTCTACAGTTACTAGTAGAATTTTGATCTGAAATTTTTATTATACAGAGTGTATAAAGATAAAAGAATTGACTTCTTTTTCTGGTATATGTTAAAGAAGAAGTCGTACTTAAGTCTGGACACAAAAAATGCATATTTTCAAGAAATGAAATTTTCAACAACATTATATTCCATTGGAATTTCTTCAATATAATTCCCAACATTTGTGATGCAAATGTTGATGCACTTTGCAAGATTCACTTGAACTCGGTGCAGTAACTTCACATTGTCGTCAATTTTGGCACATTCACTCCTTATGTGTGCAATCAAGTGTGTTGCATCTGTGATTTTCATTGAGTAAACCTTCTCCTTTAGCATACTCTAGACAAAGAAGACAATTCTTTCTTCTTTCGACAAATCCATGTTTAATCTGTAGAGGTAAGAAAAATATAGTTAATGACATTTCCTATGTGTTCAAACTTTAGGGACAACTTGTATAATACTTTATCTATGAGATTAATATTCATCACTGAATGAAGTGAATAGCTGTTATCGGCGCTGGAATTGGAATTGGTATGTCGAGATGAAATTCTAGCTGTGGTTTTCGCTTTGGCACAACTAACTTAGGAAAAAGGTATGATTTCATCACTTCCGCTTGCAACGAGGTATTAATATTAGGGCAAACAGGGATTTTGAGTGGCAATCGGTCCAGGAGAAGGAAAACTCTGAATTCAAAGCCGGCTGAGCGTGAGTTAGTAACATTTACCCCGTAATAACCTCCTTGCTACAGAGACCACCACACCAATACATATCATGGGGAAGTGGTAGCCCTATATTCCACAGGAGAGTCTACAGGGTGAACATGACATACAGCCTAAATTAAATACTTTACCAAAGAAAATTTTGAAGATTTACTGTATAAAATTAATACGTTTTTCATCATAAGACAACGTACTAAAAGTTAGCTGCCATAATCCTTGCCTTCTTTGGTATTACAAGGAATTTTGTTGGTCTCTCGCACAACGGCGCTTCACATATAATAATCAAGGGGGTTGCAGTTGGGGGGGGGCGTTAGGTGGGCAGATGTAAGGGGTGATGTAGTCGTAGAAATTGTCTAAAAGCCATGACTGGGTTCTCTTGCTTGTAAGATGAACAGTTATGACGAAGTTGAATTTATTAAACAAAATGAACTTTAAAGAAGTTTATTTCTATTCAAAATTACGAGTTTGGTTGATAAGTTAAGTTTCCAGTTTTCAAAACATAGTTTTAGACCAAATAGAATAATTAAACTGGAATAAAAATGAATTAAATTTATTTCTTTTTTAAATTACGATTGTTTTTTGATAAGTAACGTATCCAATCATATAAAATATGTTTCAGATCAGATAGAATAATGAAAGATCAAAATGAAGTAAATTTATTTCTCTACAAGATTACTAGGGTTGATTGATAACTAAGATCTTTAATTCTATAAAGCAAGTTTCAGTCCAGATAGAATATTGAAACGGGTATCAAAATGGTGTAAATTTATTTCGTTTCAAAATTAGGAAGGTTGGTTAATAAGTAAAGTCTCCAATCCTAAAAAATATATGTTTTAGATCAGATAGAATAATGAAACTGGTATGAAAATGAAGTAAATTTATTTCTCTTCAAAATTATGTGGGTTGATTGGTAAGTAAGGTCTCCAATTTTCTAAAATATGTTTCAGACCAGATAGAATAATGAAAATGAAGTAAATTTATTTCTCTTCAAAATTATGTGGGTTGATTGGTAAGTAAGGTCTCCAATTTTCTAAAATATGTTTCAGACCAGATAGAATAATGAAAATGAAGTAAATTTATTTCTCTTCAAAATTATGTGGGTTGATTGGTAAGTAAGGTCTCCAATTTTCTAAAATACTTTTTCAGAATTGTTATAATTTAGTGTCACGAATTTCCTCACAGTTACTATCCTCTTTTCTTTGAGTCAATTAAGGAAACTTCTGTTTTTACTTTTGATCCAAGAACGCACAGCAAGTGCAAAGTCAGCATGGGAAGAAAAAATATAGTGACCATTCAATGCTTCTTAAAAATTTGAGAACAACTGGAAGTCTGACGCTGGTGAATCGAGGGAGGACAGAAAGTGTGCAACAGCTGTGAATTGCAGATTTTTCACTGTTCATGTCGCCTGTTGACTGCACCATAGACATGTTTCATTTTTACAGAAAAAAAACCCCAAAAAAACCTCTTCTTCCAGGAACGTTTCCTGCAAATATACTGAGTGCGATGGGTAAATTGTCGCCATTTTATATTTTTAATTTTGCGTATTCACGTCGTTCTTTTTTTTGTATTTTATCGATTACACAATATAGTAAGGTCAGTTGGGAACCGTCTGTGAGAAAAAGAACACTATGACGTAATTCACTCCGTCAGAAATTTGGAAAAGGCATTTGCGCTGGAATCTCCATTACGAACATTTTTGAGTGTTTGTATGTCAAACTGAGGACTGCGCAGAGGATTTGAAAAGAGTTGGATGAGTCTAATGGTAATTACAAATGGTACGGTAGCTGGGAAAACTCTGATCTTCCCGATAAGAAAAGAACTCCTGAATTTGTTGGTTATAGCCTCGGACTCAACACAGAAGCCTACATCAAGTGCCTTGAGAAGGTAGTGCTAACCTGGGTCAAAAGGGTGACTGTTGGAAAACCCTATGTCTTGAAACAGGACTCTGCATCATGCCTCAGAAGCAGGTGAACTCAGTCATGGCTGT